TTTCTTAAGCAGCGTGGCAAGCCTCCCAATGGGTGCAGGCTTTCTCACGCTGACCCAGGCTCCTTGTTGGGCAGGGGGCCCCTCTGGAATCAGCTTTCCGGGCCTGGGTCCAGAAAGACCGAGTGTAATGCGATCACTAGCGCCCCTATCACGGGCTCCATTGCCGAGCTACAGGTGGCCGTGGGAACAGTTCCAGTACCCTGAGTCTATCAGCAGGGCGCCTTTCTCTAAACATAAGCCAAACCGGTAGATAAAAGTTGCTTAGAGCTCATAAAGCCTCCTTGCCAAATCAGCCACCAATCCGAAATAAAGAAGAATTTCCGTGACAAGCAGAGTGAGCTCGCTGACTTCGATCCCTGGGATAATTCATACCCAGTCGGACGAACGAACCCAATGCGAAGAAAAAAGAAAAAAAAAATTGAGGAACACCAAAAAGCCCTCATTCATTCCGATCCCCTGGCTCGCCTTTCCAATTGGTGCAAAATCTTTCTGGTTCTTTATCCATCCCTCGCACTTTATAGATATAGATCTACTAGGGATTATCAATAATGGGTTAATTATGTGGTTTGATCTCTGGCACTGCGAGGGCAAGGTATCCGTGCAAGCCGGCTCTATAATTTGTTTTACATACCGAGTTTTCCTCTTCCCAGTTATATGGTATCATGCAGACGGTAACCCGGATAGTGGGGCCACATTTTACCTTTTGTGCATGTCGGGGGTAGAGAGCAGTGCAGGAACAGCTTATTGGTGGGGGAACGGCTTGATGTACAGTACTTCCTAGGTCCGACGTTGCCCATCGAAGGAGAAACGCATGAATGCCAGGGCTCGCCAATGGGGCACCCAGGGCCGTCTACAATCCTAATGGCCACGAGTGCCGACCCCGGTACCAACTGCTAACAAGTATAATGCATGTTTCGGAGTTCAATATTGATTGTTTGATCCCGCCTCTTCAACCGCTCATCTTAGCTTTCCAGGGGTAAAGATGAACTAGCCGCTAGGCTCGCTAGGTTAGACCTCCGGCAGGGTTAGGTCGGGCCGGATCCAATGATTCTGGAGCCGGGTAAGGCCATCGGAATGCTTGCAAGGTCCCGCAACCACTTAACGAATGCCGGTTTTGGGATGTGATTGCTGTGTATTGCGGGGACCCAGATATGAAATGCTCTTGTGCGAGCGCCCTAAACCCACACAGGGTGTGGTCCAGCCGCTGACGAATAAAGGATGCGTAACCATCCCTCATTCTCCCATTGAACTCTTTGGAATTTCAGGAACCTACCAGCAGATACACCACCACAACACCGAGAAGGAACCCCATGTCAGAACTTCCCGTATGATACGTTTCCACACATCTATTACCCCGCTACTAACATGCCATACAAAATCTGGGAGTATTGGTAAAGCCTGGAGGAGATGCAAGTGGAGTAGCAGGGGAATATATTTTAAATTTATTCTAAGTTATAGGGGGTAATAAGGCCAACACTCCAACTAAATTACAATTAAACAACAATGTAGGTGTTTCTCATAATATTTCTTCTCTCACCCTCCCACCTTACCCCCTGCTGCAAGAGCGGCCGCCCTAAGTGCCTCTCAGAAAGTCCTCCCGGGAGCTCAGGCAGAAAACATAGATGCAGGGGCAGGGTCTAGTGTCGTTACGCCTTGCCAGCCGCTGCTCCGAGCAGCGGGTATTGTAAGAATTTGTCCGGTAAACCGAATAACCCGTGGTAGTAGGTTTAACCACAGTGTGGGAGGAGTTCGGGGGTCGTGGAATTGCTCTGGGATATTCAAGTATTTGGTCACGTGGGATCCAAGGCATCCGGGGGTGGTCGGGGGTTACAACGTCAACGACAATGCCTGGAGAACTGGGAACGGGGGGTGAGTTTTTATGGTGCTAGAGTGGAATTATTGCCCTAGCTAGTCCTTTTAGACAATCACCCGTAGAACTAGAGGCCCAAAGAGTAAGGCAAAAAGAAGCGGACCGGAACCAAGGAACTACCTCTGGCAAAAGCGACCATCTCTAGGGGGTCAAAAAGAGAAAATGAGGTGGATAATCCTGAGATGAACCAATAAGAGACGAAACAAAAGAGTGGTGGCCGGCCCCATAACGGTTGACCAACCCTCCATCTTTGTGGATTGCAACTAGGTTGCCTAGGGGAAGAGGTGCTACTACGGGCACGGCAAGGAAACTGAGAGGCGATCCACGGACGTGTCGCAAAAACAGGCAGCCTAGCATCCTAATAACCGATGAAGTAGCATCGTGCAAAGGCCGCAGGCAACAGGGGAAGGAGGAAGAAGCAAAGATGCCTATCCAGAGACCGGCAAGGTGCGCCCCCCACTCCCGGAAGAGGGCCGGTCGGACCGCAACCCCGGCCAGCACTCACTATACGCTACAACGCCCGAGAGTATACATAAGGAGTACCGGCTGCCTGATTAGGGCAACGAGCGAGACATGTGTTATTACCCACCAAGTCCTCGGCCGTACCTTGCTGGAAGGCTATGTGCAACCTATGCACCAGTCAGTCGCATGTCGTAGCATACCGTATATGACGGGGCAAAGGAGGGAACTGGAACAGAACTAGAGGGTAACTGCAGCAGAGGTGAAAGCAGGAACGGATAGATGAGTTGACTGATGGCGTGCTTAGTTATCTGAACAGGGAAAGGCAAACAGGGGACCATTTGTAAGTCTCCTCCTCCATCCAGCGGGGGGGGGGGGGCACAGCTGACACAGTTCTGCCATTGACCAATGCCTAAATATTGCCAACTTGGCGAGAAGGCTGGAAAGCTGGGTACGGATTCCAAGCGGCGAGTGGTAGGATGCGAGAGGAGAGGTCGGGGCCGAATGTCTATGGTAGAAAAGTGCGGTGGGGGAAATGGGGAGCGAGAGATGGACAAGAGATGGGGATCAGGTGCCATATTGAAGGCCGAATGCGATAGGTGAGAAGGGGACTGGAAACGGCATTGATCTCCCTAGTACTGTCGGCTAAATTATATCTTGGGTTAGTGACCCGGAGAGCGGAAGCAGAAGTTTACGTTCAATATTCTCTGGCAAGTCGGACCCTAAGCAAATGTGTGCAATAAGAAAAGGCAGATCCGGGTACCATAGCTGTTATCCCTTTCGTAGGGGCCCTCAGTGCTGGAGTTTGTCGAGAGATCCTTTCCCCTCTCCCAGGGTCCCAGCGCCCTCAGGGGAAAGAAAAGGATTGAATGAGTTCCAAAAAAATTGGTGCCGACACCCGGGGAAACTGTTAGTCATAGCCAGTACCGGACGGCCTTTTTTTGCCATTCGGAGAATCCGGTGATCGAACAAGCGCTACGCGCATGGTGATGTTTTCATGGGTTGACTCCGGACCCTCCCCCCGATATTCGGGTCTTGAAGAGGGGGAAACGAAGAAAAATTCTCCGGAGGCGGAGATCAAGTGGGGAATGGAAGCCAGGGGGCGATACGAGAGCTGTGTGGTGCCAGTGTCGAAGGATTGCCCCCAGCGATAGCTCAAAGCCCAGAGAGTGAGGGGCTCTGGAGCTGCACATGGTTTGTCGCTTTCATGATAGCCGGTTAAACTAGCGGTTCTCGAGTACTTGTACGCGTAGGCTTTCTACCGGTGCCGTACTTTGTAAGAACCATTGATATTTCAAACATCCCTGTAAATCACGATTTCACCCCACGATCGGATCAGTTTTGCGAGTTGACGGAATTGCGAAATCTAGTTGATGAGATCCAATGCAGTCAAAATGCTCAGGCTTACGGTGTTTGGAAGGTATTGTACTAACCCTTCTCCGGAACATTCGTCTCTGAGCCACGAGATTAGCGAGTGGACTCGGATAGAGAATCCCAAGGGTTTTCACAGCATTTGAGGAAGCGATCTCGACACCAGTCCCAGGACATTGAACGTAGACCCGTTCGGCCTCGGTATTGAGTGGGGGTGCGGCAAATTTTCCGTGCAGTTTTCGAGAGCGGGGGTGGGCGCCTCTCGGGTCGACGGCGTTGATAGGCGAGCAGGTTTTGCTACGAGTAATGGCGGTGGCTGCTCGTACGGTGCAGTGCCGGTAGAGAATGTGGCATGCGCAACCTGCCAGCGTAATCACAGTAACTTAACAGTCCGACTGAGTATCTCCAACTTCGCCCATCGAATTCTGCGCGGCGCGGGGTATGCACTGCGCTCGAGCACGGCACGAATACGAGTAGTATCATACTGGTACTGTACCCCAATACTCGAGTAAATTTGCCGGCAGTCCGCCGCATACCAGTTCCGGCACCGGTATCATGCTGATGCTGGTGCCGTCCGACCTCGCTAAACATGCCGGGGCTGTCCACACCCGTGGTCAATCCGCCTGGTGCCGCTACGAGTAGTCCATCATGCCTAACGATCCCACCGTGGAAAACAAGAAAGGATTCGGTGAGCAGAGGAAAGGGTCTTGCTTCCCGCAGTTCGGAATGCGCTCCTCTGGAAGATGGCTGCCGCTGGTGATCAGGAGCGTTAGAGGCAACTCATTTACCGGCACAGTGCCATACCGTGACTGTTTACCGCGCTAGGGCACACATCTGTCCTAGCCTTGCCAGATTTGATCGTCGGCTTCACCATTTTGCTCGGACACTAGCGCATTCTTCTCTTTTTCCATTGATTACGGGTCCTTGGATGGCCAATCCCTCTTTGTGTTTTCCCCGTTTTGTTGCTTTCTGGGCGCCAACATTGCACAGCAGGTATTGATCACCCTGATTTCCATGAACACACCCGAGTACAGTACACCTGCTCGCTTCAAAGCGAGGCGGGGAAAGAAGTTTGATCATCAATCAAAATGTGAGCATGGGGTCTCGCGACTCGAGTACGGTACTGTACGAGTACCGCACTCAAACAATGGTTGGCTTGCAGGTGTAGCAATATAGATTGGGCATGCAGCTGCCGTTCTGACGTGGAAGCGGTAGTATTTAAATTAGGTGCCACTGCGCCCACGCGAAGCGAACTTGAGGAAAAATTGTTCACTAACGAAACCCTCTCTCTCCGCTTACTGCAGTTGCCGTTTTCCACCACATCGTTGGATCCGCAGTAGCAAAGCAAAACTCAAAGGAACCTAAAGCTTGAAGGCCTACCCACCTCAAGAGCGAACGCTAGCTTTTGTTAGCAAGCTATCATAGCCACACTTTTACAGTTCCCCTCTTTAAGTTCATAACATTCCTGAGAAAACGAAATGGCAGAGGCCTTCTCCGTGGCTGCCACCGGTTTGGCTCTCATTCACCTCAGCGCGAAGGTGTTCAAACTTTGCTATGACTACTGCGACACAGTCAAGGGGAGCCAACAAGATTTCAAGAAACTGGGGGACGAGATTAAGAGTATCCACCAGCAGCTCGAGGAAATCCGAAGCCTTGCCGCCGGAGACGATGAGAGCGACCCACAATACCCTGCCCTTCTTCAATGGACAAAAAATGAGAGTCTGAATGATTACAGGATAGCGCTGGAGGAGCTGGAGGAAAGGTTAGATGTGCCTGAATGGAGGAAATCTACGAGAAAATATGTTTGGCCTTTTCGCAAACCCAAAATGGAACATTACCTGGGCTTGGTTGAAGAGCAGAGATCGAAACTTCACCTTTTATTAACCACAACCACAACGTAGGTTATCCATTCTTCAATGCCCTGGGGATCTAACTTCTCGACTTCCTTTCTTGTTTCACGGCGGAGCTAACTAATAGTATAGGAAGACGGTAACTAAAGTGTTACGAAAACTAGATGGTACTTGGCTACATTATTCCTAATCCGGTTAATTATCTTCTCTACTAATATCAGATATTTCGGATACCCTAGACAAAGAATTCCGGGAGGTGCTAAAATGGCTTAACGTCGTTGATCCAGCCTCGAATTATTCATCTGCGCTTGCTCTTCGCGAACCCGGTACGGGGAATTGGCTGATAAAGGGACCTGAATACCAAGATTGGAAGGAAGGGAGAGGAGGGGTTCTCTGGCTTCACGGTATACGTAAGTATACAGACGAGTAAAATCTTATATTCCAAGAATGTCGCTAATATTCGCATCTTATAGCCGGGTGTGGCAAAAGTGTCCTAAGGTACGAACTTAACAAGGCATCCGGAGGTGCAATATGATTTCCATATCGCTAACTCTCCCTTTAGCGCTACTGCCATTCATGATGTCAAAAATATGTGCAACTCGAACGACGATCGCACATTAGCCTACTTCTATTTTACCTTTAGCGACTCGGAGAAGCAGAATTTTCTCAATATGCTTCTATCCATCGTTGGCCAACTATTAGAAGGCGTTTCAGGCCGCTGTTTCCCCGATGAGGTTATAAATCTGTACCACAATTCCAAGGCAGTTGGAAAGTCAACCGATATCGATGCCCTGAAATCAGCATTTTCGCAGATGGTAAAGCTTTCCAAACGGACATTTATCATCCTCGATGCCTTAGACGAGTTCCCCAAGAACACACGGGGGAGTCTCCTATCCTGGATAAGCGAGCTTACTACGGTTGATCATAATGCGGGATCGCTTTCCATTCTCGTCACCAGCCGTCCCGAGGCCGATATAGTGAAGTTTCTAGAACCACTCGCCACTTTTTCAATATCGCTACAATCCAATACTGTCGATCCAGATATCCGGTTCTATATACAGAACTCCCTGGACGGTAGGGATGGCCTCAAGGAATTCACCAAAGAAATCAAAATGGAGATAGAGGACACACTCGTTGCTCGCGCACAAGGAATGTATGTTATACTCAACTTCTAAATTTTTAACTTACGCTTACATAAGGTTGGATATGTGAAGGTTCCGATGGGTGGACTGTCTTTTACGAGTTCTAGAGGAATGCATAACACCAAAATCTGTGAGAACAGCCTTGCAGGAACTGCCGAAGGATTTGGATTCCGTCTACTTGAGGATCCTTAACAGCATTCCCGAGACGCAGAGGGAATACATTAGGCGAGCGATGCATTGGCTCACATTTTCGGCAGTACCGTTGACATTGGGCCAGCTTGCGGAGGCCATTGTGATCGAATACGATGTCAACGAATATGGCGAGGATTCTGAACCCCTTTTTAATATGAAGTCCCTCATGAGCATTTGCCCGAGCCTTATTTCCTTCGAAGATGCCAGGGACGATCAATCATCCACTCAAGAGGACCGAAGATTACGACTGGCTCATTTCTCGGTAAAGGAATATCTGATTTCCGACCGGACAGGTCAGGGCCCTGGTGCCTACTATCATATTTCGGAGGATAAAGCCAATTTACTGATGGCGCACGCTTGCCTCAGTCGAATACTGCGACAGAGTGCACAAGCTACAATAAGCGGGAACAAAGCCCAAAACACCCCGTTTCTCTACCACAGTGCCCGCTATTGGTTCATGTATACTAGATCTATTGAGGATACGGCACCCACCCCACTCCTCGACGTATCGGTAAAGGTCCTCGAGCTGGGAAAGGAGTGGCTAGATATATATAACCCCGACCAACCTTACTGGCCTTCCACCCACAACGCCGGGGTTTACCCACCAGCAATCTACTATTCCTCTCTGCTAAATTTGGTGACGGCCTGTAAATTGCTAGTCAATAGAGGAGTGGATACAGTAAACGCGAATGCTCAGGGCGGCTATCATAGCAATGCACTTCAAGCAGCTGCATATCAAGGGAACGAATCGGTCGTGCGGCTTCTCCTCGAGCATGGGGCAGAAGTGAATGTGCAAGGTGGCAATTATGGCAATGCACTACAAGCAGCTGCATATCAAGGGAACGAATCGGTTGTGCGGCTTCTCCTCAAGCATGGGGCAGAAGTGAATGTGCAAGGTGGCGAGTATGGCAATGCACTACAAGCAGCTGCATGTCAGGAGAACGAATCGGTCGTGCGGCTTCTCCTCGAGCATGGGGCAGAAGTGAATGTGCAAAGTGTCGAGTACAGCAATGCACTACAAGCAGCTGCATATCAAGGGAACGAATCGGTTGTGCGGCTTCTCCTCGAGCATGGGGCAGAGGTGAATGCTTGTGGTGGCTCTTATCATAATGCACTACGAGCAAGCCGTACATCGAGGGAGCGAATCAGTTGTCCGACTTCTCCGTCGAGGGT